TTCATCGGTCTCGTAGATAGATACCGGGTCGATCACCCGGGACGTGAGATATGGACGTGGTCCTATAAGTGGCCGTCTGCCCAGTTGGTTAGTTACCCGGATAGAATGTTAGAGAGAAGGATCGTTCTAGATCTGCTATATTATCCCACGTTCCACTGGTTAGGCTAGTCGGACCATGGATAGCGTTAGATTCTAGTCCTAGAATGGCTGGGCACTAGAAGTTCAACTTGTCTTTACTGAACAGGAGTGAATTCCGGCAACAGCTAACTAATGCAGCGTGATTTAGTTGGATGTGTTATTGGGAATAAGTGGTGGGAGAGGCTTAAGTATAGTATTAGGTCTTTCACCACCGAATATAGACAAAAACTCGCCCATGATAAGCCTAAGAAAGAGATGGCATTCAGACGTGGGCAGAGGCTTGGAGATTCATTAGTTAGGCAGGCCCTGGAGCGAGGGGATAGCGAGCACTACCAGGGTCAGTGTGACACAGGTTAAGAAAGATGCCTAATAAAGCCGTGACTATGGGCGCAGAATGGAGCTATGAAGATGTACGCCGAGTTTCCGATTGTTACATTCGACAGGTCGACAGCCCGGATGGGTGTACCTAGCGGAGGACCAACGACATGTGCGAGGCGTTTCGGCCGCATTTCAATAAACGGTTTAACAAGGAGCCTAGTCTCCGTGACGAAGAGTTTCGCAGCTCTTTCCTCAACTGAAGCAGCTGACTGCGAAGTTCACGGCGGGTGAAGTTCACTTGGCATTGAAGTGAATCAGCAAAAGGATCTTGATTGTCTGCCCTAAGAATTGTGTGTTTGAGGTTGTCACAGATGCTTCTTCCGATTTTGATAATGAAGTTCAATAACTGGTTCCGGTCGTGGTCCGCACCCGGCTGGATCTTCAGAGGTGTCATCACGCTGTTGAAAAATGAAAAAAATAGTCGGCCGGGTTTAGATGGTTATAGGTCCATTATTCTGCTAAATACAAAGTCACTGACCCGAGCAGACTTATGCTGTGAAGAGCCGAACAATTCAGATCTTCGCGATCTTAGAGTGTCTAATAAACGACGTTGAATCCGCAATGATCAATTTGGATTAGGATTAGTTCAAGGTGTTCAATATCTGACTGCTGTCAAAAACGACTTCTGCAAGTGGATCAGCCTGCTTTATCACTCCCCCTACGTGGAATCACTGTCCCTGCTGGAGATCGAAGCAAGATTTCCAGCCCGCTAAGAACGTATTCATTTTCATGTCGTGCCGCGGTGACACTGAGTTAGTAGAGAAGGCGCTTGAACGGTACGAGGGTGCAATGGGGGTCAAGATTAACCGCAACAAGTCTTCGGGGTTGCGTATTAGGTGCTTGGAAAGGCGTTCTCTCAGCAACCCCGAGTTTTCGCTTGTCTGGCAATTGATCCGGAATGGACTGTCTCTCAATGTTATGGCTTTCAGAGACGACTAGGCAGATAAGCCCGATTGTCATCGGTGTGACCTTAGCTTAAAAGAAACGGCTTCTCCCGTCTTTCATCCCTGTTCTGCGGTGCGCCCGTTCTGGGATTATGTTGGCGATTTGACAGCTAGTATCTACGCCGAACATATCGTGTTCATTTATCTCGCATATGCATGGGATGTCGCCCCGGTGTTCTGGGATGAGACGGATGGTGTTTCTCACGCTGCTAGACGTGGCAAGGATGGTGGTGTAGACTACGCGAATGGAAGGAATTTTACGATAAGAACGCTATTCTCATCGGGATCTGGTTGGATTCTTGGGGCATCAGCTTAGGATGAAGATCAGTACTGAATCGTTTGATATCGGCAGATTTTAGTGAAAGGTGGGTGAAAGTATCGAGTCTGATTCACGAGAACGTAGCCAGCCTTAAGTTCCTTTTCAGTCTCCTTTCGACATGTCGGGGCGGATTCCTGGCGGACATCTCCCTTGATTAAGCAAGACTTCCTTTGTTCAAATAATTAATGAGATTAATTGTTGTTCCTAACCTGTTCCCGGCATTACCTTTTGTTATGATCCTTGTCAAGATTCCCCAGTTTGTTTTACCCCATTTTATCTTGATTGGGTCATTGTAAATGAATGAATGGGTCACGAATCTGATTATCTAGGTGCAGGATAGTGAAGACCAGCCTCACCCCACTTCTTCTCTGACCAAAAAGTTAAATAAATAAAGGCGGAGGGGAAAATTTTGTGGTGTTTGTGATCAAATATTTTTCAGCATATAAGCTTCCTGATTGAGTATTGTTGATTGATTTTCTGAGAGATTTCCAAATATTCCTTCTTTACAACGTCCGTCTCAACAAGGCCTTTTAAAATTTTTGTTTCTCTCACTGTTGTTCCCTGCTTGTAGATGGTTGGGGTTGCGGTACTGGTCTCTTCCCGATGCAAGATTTTGAAAGATGTCATGCAGCAGCACAGGACCAGCAGAGATGTCGGAGGCCTTCAACAACATAGAGGGATCGGCCACCACATGTCAGTACGTTGATCCCTTTGATCCGTACCTGGTAGCTATATATCGCATTGGCGGGGGCACTTAAAGCAGATACGTTGTTCTTCGGTGCCGTGTTGTATCTGTATACAGCTTCCATGACTGTGCACTGCTTTCTGGCAGTGATCCTCGTTATACTTCGGTGGCACCTTTCCGCTCTGCCATTACCACTTGGCACATGTGCACATCCCAGTCGAAGCTGGATCCCCCATTCGTCCAGGAAGCGCCGGAACTGTCTGCTGCAGAAGGCAGTGTCATTATCAGTGAGGATTTCTTCCGGTGGTCCTCGTTCATAGAACACCGACTCCAATTGGCGGATTACGCTTGACGAGCCCTGTCGTACAACGGTCGCCAGACTGCGAATCTAGTGGGCCCGCAATCTATCAGCGTAAGGAAATTCTGGCCGCCGTAATGGGTTATGTCCATACCCAGACTGCTCCGTGTGCGTCTTACTCCCAGCTTTCCTTTTTGCCGTTTAACTGGGGCAGGGTCAAATTGACTGGTATGTTCAGCATCCCTTGACCACGGCCCTCACGGCATTTTTAGATACTGACGGATTGGTCAGCCGTACAAAATAGCATGTTCTTCTTACGCCGGGGTGCCCACTACAATGATGTATCCTCATTATCTCGTCCGGGTCCTCCACAGACGCAGCGCACATCGGTGGTACAGGCTCGACGTCCTTTTTTACAGCGTCAAACAATCTTTGTAGTATCCGAATCAATGTTGCAGCTCGATGTTACCAGTGTTACATCCATGGACAGATCGTACTCAGTGACCAGTTTTTTTAATAGTGCCCAGCCGTCTTTTAATGAGAATCTCGCTGGCTGCCTTGGTGCACACCCTGGCCTTGCCTGTCAAGGTATCCGACACCCAATGGTATACGCATAAGGAGTCAGTCTGCAGATGCAACTTTTTTACCCTCTACTGAAGTGCCAAATTGACTCCTTTTAATACGGCGTTCAGCTCTGCCAGGTTGATGTGCGCAGCGTCGTTCGTTAGTCGAGCAATAAAATTATAACAACCACGAGTCCTATAACCCATCTGGGTTGTAGGGGCACCAACATGTACTGCTGCCGAAGGCTGGCCTCATTCCGTGTTTTCCTTCTCTCGAAAGTTTTTAATCATTTCACCCAAGCAAATAATAAAACCACTAAGGCACAATGGATTACTGAATGTTACAGTATATACGGAAAAAATTATTAAAGAGAGGTAGTAACAAAAAAACAGGAATTAAGGAGAACGCGATTGACATTGTATTTATTTATTTTGAAGATCAAAGTTGTCTTGAAAGCAAGGAACCCGAAGTGAGTTTTACAAGGGAGAAGTGAAGAAACTATTGGTATAGAACTTACGGTTACATTTAACCAGTTCAACTCTAAAATGCCATCGAAGACCATAAGGCTTGGTCTGTCCTGTTACTTACTCATACCTTGGAGTGGGAAGAAGAAATGGATTTATATCTTCCCCAGGTTTATTTACGTGTAAGTGAATGAAACGAACACGTCCGCCGATTTCTAAATCCCAACCGCTATCCATTACAACACCGCGCATCCATAACAAAATTATAAGGTCTCTTTAAAATTATAGGATTTCTTAAAAATGATAGGTTCTCTTTTAAATTATGGGAACTCTTTAAAATTAATGATCATATGAAGATAAAGATAAAGAATTATTGTAAATACTTTCAGGTACCTAATACAAGGCTCCAAATAATCGGGTCATTGGAATTTTTCCTAATATGTTGGGGTCGTAATAAACTATTAATGTGCAAACTTAATAAACGAGGTTGTCTTAATAAGTTCCTTAAAAAGAATCAACGCTTTTTTCTATCCATTACGTACCTAAAGTATTTGGTTAATAATTTCTTTTAGAGGAACGCAGCGCAAACAACAATTACTAAGCTAAATAATATATTCACACAAGTAAATACTCCTTAACTTTCTAATAACTATTCCCTACCTTGCAAAAATAAAAATAATAATAATAATAACAATGAAATAGTACACAGCAGCTTCTCCAGATATTAATCCTATAGAAAATATATCGTTCATTATTAAAAGAGATTTATATGAGAATAGAAATCAATATTCGAGTAAAAAAGATTTCTAAGAAGCAATAAAGACTACAAGTATTACTATATTAGAAGCAGAAGAAATATTAATTCAATCAATGACTAAAAGACTGATACCTATCATAGAATGTAAAGTGGTTCCTATAACATGTAAAATATTAAAAGAATAATTTATTCAGGTATATTCATATTGATTTCAGACAGCGAATACATGTTTGTGCAGCTCATATCTTTTGGATTTATTTATAAATGGGAATTTATGTTACACTTAGCTGGATTTGTTTTTACAGCTTGTCAACCTTCTTCAGGTTATTTAAAGACAAAATATTTTTGGATTGTAAGAATTTTTTAATATAACGAACTCGGCTAGAATTTGAACTCGGATCTCCGATTACCAATTCCGAGCAATTATTCATTACACCACCAACCGATCCCAGCTCACAACACCTATTATTCACAAGCGGTCATCCATTTAGATACTGATCAGGCTCGATGTTGCTTAACTTCGGTGACGTACGAGAACCGGTCTTTCAACATGATATGGTCGTAACACCCGGAATTATATTGACTACATAGCAGTTATTTTGTCATTTACAACCATCTATAAACATAGATTTCTCAGTTTTTCATTAGTTTTTTCTCCAATTACGAGCCATTATCCATTATACCACCACACCCATCCGAGCTTACAGCACATTGTATTCACCAGCGGTCACCCCTCTAGGTACTGAGCAGGCTCGACGTTGCTTAACTTTGGTAAAAGGACGGAAACCGGTGTTTTAACCTGATACAGCTGTAAGACGTACAAGGTGTTTAAGTGTAAATTATAGCATAGGTTCCATAATATCTAAGATACTTGGTGGAAAAATAAAGCTGATAATATATAATCTGCCTCCGTTTCCAGTAATACGAAACTTCTGCATAACGAGTAATTTACGGCCCGACTTTCTCTCCGACTGCTTCACTACGAACTCTGGATGGCAAAGAGTTACTTAAAGATCTAGATGACATTCGTTTTAGGTGGTGTAAACATGTAACAAACTTTCAAGTTAATGAAGATTTTTTAACTTAATTCCCTTCAGTCCCAATTTCGTTGATTGTCCGAGAACCAGTGTTTCAACTTTGATATCGCCGCAAGCCACACTTAGTTTTATTGCATTGTAAAACCCTGACACCCCTAAAAATAAGATATGAGCAATATATGATATTATCATATGTGATATTTTCATATATTGTTCATATCTTCATATCTTGAAAATGATACCAACATTGGTTGGATGATATTCCAAAATCATCCGAATCTCTTCCCCCTCCCTTTCTGTGCATGTATGTGTGTCTGTGTGTGTGTGTGTGTGTGCGTGCGTGCGCGCGCGAACCCGCGGAACTCGTATTTAGGTTGCATCGTTAAATATCCAGTAAAAAAGTTGGGGTACCTGTACTGATCCAGAAAGTAACCAATTACTCCGGACATTTTATTTTTTACAAAAGTTAAATCACACCAAAATGGATTATTGCTACAATATCTTGGCTAGAAATGTTTAATCGTCGTTTACCAACCTTGAGAGATGCCGCGTACATTGTAGCGAATCACTCTCCTCATTCCCTTTGTATCCTATTTTGTTGAGATGTAAGTTCAACTCGATCAGCTCCTTCCCACCAACCGCTACTTTGTGGAACCTACTCCTAAGGAGATGCTTCCCCGATCACTACAATCTTAACCTGTTCAAGAATCAAGTTAACGTGTAGTGATTTTCCAAGCGTAGTCGTAATTGATCTAGCGAGACAAGCTCGCTAACCATTACACCGCCTTGGGGCGCCCAATCAAGTTAACTTGTATCTTCCCTATATATCCCCATAAACAGTGCCGATTCCTCTCTAACCTTATACCTCGTGTGTCTCTTGGCCCTTGTACAGGGTGAACATTATTGTAAAAAAAAGTTCAAAAGTGCTTACTTTGTATTTGTAAACGATAAATTATTTTCAACTCTACAACTCGTTTCCCCACAAGCGAAAATTGCTAACTAATCGTTACTCTATTGTTATTACCATGGCAAATATTTATTCCTATTCTATTTCTAAGAGGAAAGTTTTACTGAGAACGCTTCTCCTGAGTGCAAAACACTCCCAGAGGATGCTTACCAGATCGCTACAATGTTAACCTCTTCAAGCCTTGCGTCAATCTTTTATCTATCCTCCATATCCTACACCTCATCACATATCCAGATCTGCACCTACTTCTTCCTCTTATTCAACTTCATTCAAAAACTAAGGAAGTAATGTTCTGTCATCACCGAGAAGACCCTGAATTTTCACCTATCGCGATGAACGGGTGTTCTATCAGGCATTCCCTGTGTCTTGAGTGCCTATTTCGATAAGCTCAGCCTTCAAGTATAACTCGTACATATGATCTGTCTCTAAAGATGCTCGGAAAATAGTCGATTCCAGCAAGTACCCGAATCCTCCTAATATCTATGTTTAAAAGCGCCAGATCTGATCAAAAATGGAGTGCTGCTACCATATACGGACAGGAGCTGCACAGTCTTCACTTTCCAATCTCGATATGTCTTGGATTTTGTATAGGGTGAAAAGCATTGTAAAAAAAAAAAAAATCAGTAACCTCCTACCTCGAGGTACATTTGGGCTTTGTATTAGGTGAAAATTTAGTAAAAATGTGTGTATAAGTTGTATATATGGGTTTTCTCTGTGTGTGCGCGTGTGTGTACATATTTGTCTCTGTGTCTGTGCACCTGTTTCTTATGTGTATATGACTGTGTGCATACCTGTTTGTCTACCGGTCTTTGTGTCTGCAAGCGTGCGTGTGTCAATTTCAGCGTCTGTGTGTGTGTGTGTGTGTGTGTGTGTGTGTGTGTGTGTGTGTGTGTGTGAGCGGTTGCCTGCTAGCCCTTGTGTGTTGGTGGACGTTTAATTAGGTTTCATGAAATATATATTGGGTTATATGAAAAGCATGCGACCTCCACCGACATTCTTTCCTTTGGGCCCGAGGCTAACATACGAACATGACGTCAGCTCTGCAATCTGTTAAACCAGTCGATTCATTTGCTTATCACCACCGACATTTCTGATTACCTGAGAGTTAAGCTTTAAGTTACAAAGAAAAGTAACTGGAAACTAAAATTACCGACATTCCTTAAGTACATCACAGGTTAGTTTTACTAACACGAGACTGAAACTTATTTACAATGACAATCTCGACACTGTGATTTGTTCAATAGGTTTTAGAATAATCTGCATTCCCACGAGATTGTGAATACGAAACAAGATCATCTCTTTAATCTGGGATTTTAGAGTATGCCTAAAGCATTCGGTTATTAAGCAGAGATACCAGAGGAATTATATGAATGACTTATGGAAAGGAACTGTCCTAGGGATTGATCCTGAGGGCTCATAGAAAAATCAGTGAGAAAGGAAATTCTGTTATGATTACAAGCAAAAGGTTCATATATATATATATATATATATATATATATATATATATATATATATATATAGATATATATATAGAGAGAGAGATAAATAAAGATGGTCCGGAGTAATTAGCTAGCTTTATTTTATCCTGTCGAGGTGGGGGTCAGATTTTTCTTTAGCAGGTCTTCTCGAACTAGGCTGGTTGACATTAATTTCCCTATTTCAGAAAATAAAAATAAAAAGATGCCAACTCAAATAATTTTAGCCACGGAAATGACGCTTATGTGGAATTAAAACATACTTTAAATAAGTACTGAGAACTGGGATTACCTTTTGGGTAACTGAGATGTGGTTCTACAGAAGGATATTGAGAATATCAGGAGCAGAATATGTTAGCAACGACGAAGTTTTAAGAAAAGAGGAATTAAATAGATACTTATATTTAAGATTATAAAAAAAACAGTTGACCTTTCCAAGACACATAATAAGGAAAGAGGGCTTAGAGAAATAAACACTCTAAAGGCATATTGAAGGTAAGAGGGAAACATTGAGTAGCCTACCTAACGATCTTGTGTAAATTAATTGCAGAACATGGATCAAGATGGGTAGTAAGTGTTCAAATACTGCTTAGAAGTACGAAGAATAGGAGCTTAGGGAGAGCCATTATCAACCACTTCCTAAAAGGATACAGCGCATTAAAGAAGACATTTTAGGTTCCCGCTCTAGCGTAATGGTCGGCAAACAAGCTTCACTTGACTATTCGCTCCTCGAGTGATTAAAATCTCTCCTTTGCAGTTAGGATCTTGTGTCAGACATTCTAAATTTCGCAGATGTCATTAGCGTTACTCGTGGGAACGATACACTTTCTCGCTGATCAGCTCTGGCTGTCGCTGCTGGACTTTTCACTCTTATATCCATAAAGAATTCTCTAAATGACACCGGGTCAATGAATTAGTGTTTAAAAGAGTTTACGTTTTATGAGTGTCTTCATTAAAATCATAATTGAAACGGGGAAAAGCAGGTGTTTATCCCTAATGCCCATTAATGGAGGATTGTCGAACAGTTATCATAAATAAGAAAAGACATTTATTTGTTCACGAAGATGGGTCCTGTCTCGTTCAAGGCCACGATTGCACCAAGAACGCAGTAAAAGTCGAACACATTACAAGAGGGGGAAATCGGTATGATTCACTTTCACTCATTTGTATAAATCAATTAGCCAGCTCCTTAACTTAATCTAGTTTGGCACATGATCACAAATAATAAGCATCCAATGTAAATAGAACTCACTGCAATAATAACAGTCCACAAGATAATCTACCTAATAACAGTTCAGCGACGATACTGTTGATCTATTGCTTGGCAAGGTCTGGCACAAGGACACCAATTTATGGAACAGTATAGAAATATAAATAGTATTAAGGTGAAATTTGGAGTAATAGTCTACAAAAGTTTAATGCTATTTCATGTTTCACGTTTGGAGAGACTCAGACTTGGAAAATCAACATGTTAATTCTTTTAATTTGACTCGAACACTGGGGACAATTAGAAATATGTAACTTCAACAATATATAACGAGCAAGCTACATCCTAGAAATGCATAGAGAGGTTTTTTATTTACAAGGATGTTCATCCCGTACAAGGCCCCAGAGCCACTTGAGCCACCTTCAATTTTTATATCTGCAATTCTACACCAGATTTTGTGAGATTCAAATGGACGTTTTCCATTGGCGTGAAGTGGAACGATTATAATGAATCAATTGCTACGTCTTATGCTAGAAAACTTGTTTCACTGTGACGTGAAAGACAATTTTTATCACCAGAATCTATGATGTATCTTTAGAAGTTTACGATTCGTCCGTGCATTGAATATTTCCGTCACATTTTTGGTTTTGGTGCTTCTGCCATACATCATGAGATTCTTGACAAACTGCCTAAATCTGCAATGTTATCGGTCCTGAACTTGAATCAGTCACTTTACCACCGCCGTAACGTAGGTTCCCTGTGTCCTTTCTATAAATACTTTGATGAAAATTGTTCCTCTTTGTTTCCTCGAGTTCAAGAATTTAAACGTAGTATGTGGTACCCGTCGGTGTAGCCGTGGAACGTGCTTCTCCTCCAAA